CAGCCATAAGTAGGGAATAACAGCTGAAATTAAGGAATCATTAAAAAGTAAACATTAATGGGTTCATAGCAGAAATAGTAAGTGTGATACATATGCTACCATATGCTTCTTCTGGGCCCACAGGAGAAATCACTATCGAACATGTCACTCTTTCCTACTAAACTCAGAAAAGGTCTCAAAACACTTACAAGGGTTCCAGGTAGTCATGACCAATCAGAGCTGGCATATGAAATGGAAGCTATCTGTCATCCATGGTATATAAATTCACTGAATTTGGTTGTTTATCAGCATCACAACTGTAATAGAAATTTATATAATTTTACAATAGTTTTATGAATACTCAATTATTATGAATTACTAATTAAAATCTGGATGATGCTGAAAAAGAATAGTAATATTAATAAGTACGGTTCATTTTTTCCCCCAAAACAAGAGTCCCTGGGAGAAATATGATAGAAGTATGATCACTGGTGGAGAAAATTCTCAGTACTATAATACCTCACCAAACTACATTTCATTCCTGGGACAAGCCTTGCACACTCATGACTCCATGTTTCTGCTGATCAAGTTTTCCCTCTACCAGAAATGTCCCTTCACTGTCAACCTTGGTGACTTTGCTCTAGATCAGCTCAAAGAGTACATTCTTCTCCAATCGAAGAAGACATAATTGCTTCCTCTCAATGCTGCAATATAATCTGCACATATTTTTATTATATAACTTAAATAAATAATAACCAAACAATAAGTATCTGTCTCCCTTGATATATTAAAAGCTTAAAGTCAGGAACTGTTCCTTTTCCACTGTTATGGTCTCCTCCCAGCACCTACGTCAGTATTTGTTAAAGGAAGGATTGAATAAGAGAATATACTAAAGAATGAACAATAAACAGTAACATAACAGGACAGGTGGTTCAGAATCGAATCCATCTCACTTTTTTGCCAAAATCTTCCTAAGTGCTGAAGCCCTGCCACATCAATCAGACTGATAAAAAGAAACTAAAGTGTTCCTTGTAATGCCTACCTTCCAAGACAAGTCTGGAGTAAAAGGCTCTGTACAAGTTCCTTCAACTTATCAGAGGACCTTTATGCCAGCAATATTTCTAAGACCTTTTCTATGTTCTTATCTTGTGATCTTGCAAAATTCTGTCTAATTCCACACTTTCCCATTTTCTACCAATCATAGTGTTTCTAAGTGCATCCTTTCTAGTTGTTCCCTCATCTGCTTATTTCTATGCCATTTCTCATATTTCATCGATTTCATCCAATTTTTATCTATATTCAAAAACCATTATTGTTCTCACTTAAAAACCCTTAGAACAGCCGGGCACGGTGGCTCAGGCCTGTAATCCTAGCACTCTGGGAGGCCGAGGTGGGTGGATTGTTTGAGCTCAGGAGTTTGAAACCAGCCTGAGCAAGAGCAAGACCCTGTCTCTACTAAAAAATAGAAAGAAATTAATTGGACAACTAAAAATATATAGAAAAAATTAGCCGGGCATGGTGGCACATGCCTGTAGTCCTAGCTACTCAGGAGGCTGAGGCAGGAGGATCTCCTGAGCCCAGGAGTTTGAGGTTGCTGTGAGCGAGGATGACACCACGGCACTCTAGCCTGGGCAACACAGTGAGACTCTGTCTCAAAAATAAATAAATAAATAAATAAATAAAAATAAAAACTCTTAGAACATTAAAAGTAGAACTGCAATTTTTCTCTCATGTAGGAATTTTTCATTTATAGCCACCCAATTTACTTATCTATATCATTCTAAAATTACAATTAATTTGGGTTAAATAGCAAAGTAAGCTGCACATAACAATGTCAAAATGGCAAGATCCACTTTCAATTTCCATTCTATCTGAATCTGTCTGCAGATACGAGTTTTTATTAACATTAGTTATCTGACGTGCCAGACACTGTGCTAGGTGCTACGGATATACACACAAACAACAAGGAGCATGGTTTAGAAGAGAGGGGAAGACCTACTCAGTTTTTACAGTGCAGTGTGATAAGTGCTATAGCCACATTAAAAACACATAAACAGGACTAGATTGTTCTACCTCATGAGATCCAATGTTGACACAGAGAGTGAAAGTCCACTTACTTAACTTCCCAAAGTCCATTAATTCCCCGAATCCCCAGTAGTCAAATACACTAAATACGACTGCATTGTCTTAATTTATAAAACAGTGTGTGAAATCTGCAGGCCTGCTGAGATCTGAAATCGTTAAGTCCTTTGGGAATGTGAACTAAGCATCTGACCAGTGCCCTTTTCCTTCCACTATTACTCATCCTTCTTTTTCTGGTTTTCCTCAACCTCTCCATGCACAAGTAGAATCTTTCGTTGCTAAAAGAGTAATGCCCAAGTGTCACATCTTGTCTTAGCAACTGTATCTAAATCATGTTAGTGTACTTATTTTTTAACAACCATCTAAAAAAAAATCTCTCAAAAGGGCATTTCTTTAACCAAAATAACCTCAGAATCATAAATCTACTAATGTTTTACACAAATACAGTTTCCATTTTGGTGACACATGTATTATCAACATTCAGAGACAGGCTTCTGCATCCCCTTCTTGTTCCAGAGCCACTAGAACTCAACTTCTCCCACTCTTTCATCTGACCTGCTCTTAGCAAAAGCCGCCTGGACCTCTAACCCCTCACAAACCCTCTCAACAGCCTAAAGATACAATCTAAGCAAAACAATGGTTACATCCCCATTGCCTCCATGGGATAATTTGGAGGGCAGGCCCTCCAAATTGATGACCCCAGTTCGTTGTATCTTTGCTTCACCCAGAAATGATAATCTTTGGCAACTTCCTCACAATTCTCCATTATGACAGAAATAAAATCAGACCACCCTGTTGGTTTCCAATAACTTGTTCCACACACAGCAAGTCAAAGTCTGCAATGAGGTAAACAGTTCCTGGAGGTGCTCCGCTTGTAAGTTGAATCCAGGTCCACCTCTATAAATTTAAAATGGGAGTCTTCATAGAGTTCTGCTAGGTCTTCTTTTCAAGGGCCCAAACTATCCCCACACATTCCTTTTCTCTCTCGGATAATTTCCACAGTAACACGGTGTGGCGGAGGGGCCTGGGTGCTACAGAACACTGCCCTCACTCCCTCCTCCATCAGTACCACCCCGTTTCTAGTTCCCTATTCCAAGGTATTTGCAGCTATCACGAACCTGTCAGAGTCAAGAGTACAAGTGTCACTTTCTCCAGACATATTCGTCTTTGCCTAAAAGTTCCTTGCTCTTGAGTGGACAAATTATTTTATCTAGCTTTTTATTAGTTGACGAATCAGGTCAAAACTTCAGGGGTGGAAACTTTCAGAGGCAACCATACAGGTCCACCACATCAGTCCTACAAATTTGTCTCTTCAAAAAAATAGCGAGAATGTTTAGAGACCCGGGATCCCTCTCAGCAAGAATTTCTCCACTGACATTATTCCTACCCCCTAACCTTGGCACTTGTTTTCAAAGTTCTTACCGACATGCTCACCATTTTTATGCCAAACCTACTCATCCCCAATCCCACAAAGCCCAGAAAGCAACAACTGGCTGCCCTCTCTGCTGCCCTCTCTTCTGGAAGTTCTCTGTCTTGGGCCCCCTTATGCACCACCAAGGTTTGAGGCACCATCAGCAGGGCTTCTGGCTGACTGCAAAAAACACAGGTTGGGCTTCGTATGCTGGGGTGCCCTGGATGGAGATAGTTATTTCCCATTTTTCTGAAGTCTCTCCTCATTCTTTATCCTAAGTCATGGGCAACAAAGCCCTCTGGCCTCAGCACACACCTTCCCAATTCCCCACCCATGCATCAGTTAACTGTCAATAAGAATTATAATCTCACTAATGCTAGTGAGAATTTAATGAACTAGAGACACTCATTTTGTGATTCCAAATTATCCAAACTGCTCTGGAAAGTATGAATGAAGTCATTAACTCCTTGACTCAGTATTTTCAGCTCTGGAAAGCTAATGTGGAGAAACAATCCATGGTTAAATTATAGTATAACCACTCCAAGTAGTCATTAAAAGCAGACGATAAAGCAACATGGAAAACTTTGCCCCAAAATCAAAAGACTAGAAAGATTTTACAACTACAACTGCTGATGCAATAGTATGATGGATGGGGCCTTGACGCCATCAACTATGATTTATACTTTGTTATTTCTTATATGGTTTAATCTTTGCAGTAGTAGAATAAAAAAGCATCAGCTAAATTTCCCCATCCTCAAACCCACAGGATGCAATAAAACCTCTGTCAGGTGAGATGTGAACACACAGTCACAAAATAGTTCCTACTAGAAATTCTCAGAGTCTTGTACCTCAAGTCATTAATTACCTATGTATGAGTGCTATATAGGGGGGTTCGCACACTTATCACTTAATCCCCTAATAAGCCTGTGAGGGTATCATGGTCTTAATTTTGCATATGAAGAAACAGCTATTCTGGCATATTAAGTCCCTATCCAAGGTCATACAGATGTGTCAGAGCCAAGAGTCAAACATCCGGTCTTCTCATTGGTTCTTCATTGTTTTTAGTGTTTTCCAAGTTCCTTAAAACCAAGTTATTATAAATGTCATCATTAATATTATCCCCAGAAACCAAGTTTCTGTCATATCAAATTGATGTGATCAGTGTCACTCAACATTGGAGACCTTTCCTGTATCCTATGCCAGATCCTAGCAATAATGACAATCACCCTGCTTTGCAAGTACGAACTACTCGTTATTAACATATTTTCACAAAAGTTTAAGATGCCCAAGGCTTTGCATAACACTGTCTCAAAAAGGAGGAAGGGGCTGGCTGACCCTCCAAGGCTCAAGGCTGTTCCCATGCTGGTGGTCAGTGGGCTGACTCTGCTCTTTCCCAGGGCCACGTGGCAAACGCGAGCACCCTAAAGGTCGTGGTGGCGACTCGCTCCGCGTCCCGGGGGCCGAGGGCGCGGCGCCGCGCACTTCCCGCGGCCGGTCCCCGAAGCCCATCCGCGCCCACAGGCCTCACCTTGAGAGTCTCGTAGGCGGTCGCCACCAGCAGGAAAGCCTCCTCGGCGCTCTGCGGCGTCTGCCCCGGGCCCTCGTCGCCGGGCTCAGGCCGATAGCGGTCGGGGTGGTAGCGCCGCGCCAGCTGGCGGTAGGCCCGCGCGATCTCCGCCTTGCCCGCCGAGCGGCTCACGCCCAGCACCTCGTAGCAGTCCCGCGTGCCGCAGTACAGCCCCTCCACCAGGGCCCCCGCGGGCCGCGCCCGCAGCAGCACCAGCAGCAGCAGGGGCGACAGCAGCACCGACCAGCGCCGGCCGGCAGCCCCGGCTCCCCGGCGTGGAGCGAGCGGCGCCGCCATCCCAGCCTCGCAGGCGGCTCGGAGACCCCAGCGGCTGGCTCTCCAGCGCTCGGCCGGGCGCCGGGCTCCGCCGCCAGACGCTGCTCCACCTCAGCAGCAGGCGCCTGCGCGCAGGCGCACAGGGGCGGCTGCGGCAACCACTTCCGTTCCAACACGTTGCCAGGGGAGAAGGACGCCTCAGCCCCGGGCCTCTTCCGGTCTGTCACGGAAGGCCTCCCTAGACCCAGCAGCCGGAAGATTTGTTCTCCGTCGAACAGTCTTCGAGGATGTCTGTGTGTCCCAGGCTCACTTAGTGTGTTCGGAGCGTTTTAGCGTCCACAGTGGCCGTCACACGCAACCTTTTCGACATCATTGCAAAAAACACAGGACGATCAGTTAAATTTTAATTTCAGATAAAAAACCAAATCATTTTTTCACTTGCTGCAGTAAGTAGTCTGGCTCTCTTGCATCCCGTTATCAGCGTCAAGAAGATATGTGCTTAGGGTTTTAAAGCCAAGTCTCCAGCCCCGGACGCCTTACCCATGCTGCCTTCCAAACGGAAGATGAACTTAGAAATTCTAGGTGCTGGCTACTAGGGACCCTGAAAACTCATGGCCATCTGGTTCAGGGTTTCTCAGCCTCCACCCTATTGACATTTTGGATCAGATAATTTGTTGCCTTGGTGGGGCTGTCCTATGCATATAAGATGTTTAGCAGCATCCCTGGCCTCTCCACACTAGATGCTTGTAGTATCACTACCCCATCATAGATTTATAGTATAGAATGGTGCATTTGTTTGAAACGTTGTGTTTAGATGTCAACTGTCCCCACATTGGATCATGTCATTTCCCTATTTGAAACATTTGATAATTTTCATTGACCCTTGCCTCAATATCAGTTACCCAGTTCACTTCCTCCATGCAAGCTCCTCTTATACAAGCCTATAGATAACAATACTGTATTGGACACTTGAAAACCTGTTAAGAAGCTGGCCATGGTGGCTCACACTGGTAATCCTTGCACATTGGGAGGCCAAGGCAGGAGGACCACTTGAGGCCAGGTGTTCAAGACCAGCCTGGACAACAGAGTGAGACTGTGTCTCTACCAAAAAAAAATTTTTTTTTTTAATTGGCCAGGTGTGGTGGTGCACACCTGTAGTCCCAGCTACTTTGGATGCTGAGGCAGGAGGATCACTTGAGCCCAGGAGTTTGAGGTTGCAGTGAGCTATGATGATACCACAGCACTCTAGCTTGGCACCAGAGTGAGAACCTGTCTCAAAAAAATCTGTTAAGAGGGTAGAACCTATGTTAAGTGTTCTTACCACAATAAAAAGATCAAATGAGGCTAGGGAAGGCTCACTTCAAAGCAGACAGAACTTTGGTCCCCAGCTGTGCCAGCTGTCCTCTGAGCTGCCAACCCACCATTCCTTACCCTGGGGAATTATATCCTCTGCAGACATTTCCCCATTGCTGTCTGGCTGGGTGCTAAACTCTGCCAGTAGAAGGTGCTTGAGGGGTACAGCAAGGCTGGAAAAGGAAAAGGAGTCATTTTTCCTCAAAGCAAATAGGGTTCCCAATTCAGCACCAGTTTCTTTGCTGCCACATTGGTGATGGCTCCTGCTGTAGGTTGAATTATGTTCCCCCGAAAAGATATGTTCAGGTCCTAACCCTGGTACCTGTGAATGCGACCTTATTTGGAAATAGGGTCTTTTCAGATGTAATTACTAGTTAAAATTATGTTCCTCTGGATGAGGGTGGCCCCTAACCCAATGACTGGTGCCCTTATAAGAGAAGTAAACAGAGGTACAAACATACAGGGAAGACGACCATGTAAGACAAAGGCAGAGATGGGGGTTAAGTTACCACAAACCGGGGAATGCCAAGGATTGCTGGCAATCACCAGTAGCTAGGAGAGAGGCAAGAGACAGATTCTCCTTCAGAGGCCCCAGAAGGAACCCACCCTACTGACACCCTGATTTCAGACTTCCAACATCCAGAATTGTGAGGGAATAAATTTCTGCTGTTTTAAGCCACCTAGTGTGTGGTAATTGTTACAACACTAGGACGCTCACACCAGGAGTCAGTGTCTTTGTAACCAGATTGGTGGCAGCTATTTGCTCTTAGCAGAGGCCAGTTTCTTCCCCAGAGAAGCAGGCAGCAAGCTCCTGGAGCAACCATCCTCTCTCCTCAGAGCAAAAGATGTAGTACATGCAGGCTTAATGGCTACAGGGTTCCCTTTTGGGGTGATGAAATTTCTGGAACTAGATAGTGGTGATGGTTGCACAACACTACCTATGTACTTAATGCCACTAAGTTGTACATTTTTAGATAGTTAACATAGTAAGTTTTATGTTGTGTGTATTTTAGCACAATTAAAAAAATTAATTTCAGGTGGGGCAAGCGCCTCCTCTGAGTTTCTAAGTTCCTTATTTTTCCCTCAGTTCTACGAGTAGCAGCTGCTCTCCACATTATTTCTTTTTGTAAATTTTTTATTACGTATTAACATAACATAAAATTTACTATTTTAACCATTTTAAAGTGTATGATTCTGTAGCATTACGTACATTCACAATGTTGTGCAACCATCACCTCTACCTAGTTCCAGAACTTTTCGTCACCACAAAAGGACATCCTATATCTACAGGGTGTCCCAAAAGTCACCATACATAGGGAAAATGGGAAATTGTAGCTAAATGTACCTTTATTTACAAAATAGTCATTACAAAATTTTACAAAACTTTTCCGTTATATGGAGACTTTTGGGACGCCCTGTATGAAGCCTGCACATACTACTTCTTTTGTCCTAATTCTCATTAAAGTTCTCTTTTACCCCTCTTTGTAGCTCACCATGGCCAACAGCATAAAAGAGCATTCCTCACCTGAAGGAAGATAAGGCGAACTACAGGGGAGCCAGGAGGGATCCCAAAAGGTCCAGTCCAGGCCAAGGTCAAATGTGAAGACTAATCACGGGAGGACACATCCTGGACAGAGTTACGCTACTCAGAAAGGTGGACGATGTGATTGAAAAGTGCTGCCTGCGCTGGGTTGCACTTTATTTCTCTCACTGTAGGAGACCTTATGAACCAGAATCTGGAATAAAATCTTAGGTAAATCATCATACGAACAGGAAATTGGAAAACTTGGATGAAATGCAAAAGTTCCTAGAAATAGATAAAATATCAAAATTGGTACTTGTATTAATATTAAGGAAACTTAAAAGTCATCCAGAACTGTTTCTCCTGAAAAAACCAAGTTCCTGTAAAAGT